CGGTGAAACTGCATTTTTTCTCCTAATCAGATGTAAATAGCATTAAATCTGAATGCAGATTTCTTAAAACACTCTAAAATACCAGTAATCTGTCTGAACTGAAATACAACAGGCAGGACTGGTCTGACCGTTTTTACCCTGGTTTTTACCGTATATAGGAAGACGCCCTGATATATATATGCGAGACAACCGTGGCGACAAGAGCGAAGTTTCTTATCCATCTTTCGACATCTTGATGTAAAAACAGCTTATAATTTATGAAAATAAGGCGTAGGTTTCTCCGCGTTCTCGAGTTTCCTCTCAAGATTTGGAATGTTGATATTTTAGGGAGAAAATTTTTCGTAAACAAACAGAAACATGATCGTCGAATAAGACTACTTGTGAATATGACAGGAGCGCCGGAAAGCAGCTATAAGCTGCACCTCGCTTACTGAAAAATTATGCACGTGCTCTTGTCGACGATTATAATACGACACAATTTCAGAGAATACTATGACATGATATTTAAGCTAAATGCTTATATTATTTTCTCATTGAGGAAGAACACAAAATTTCATTTATTTATCACCCCAGGGAAGTAGATTGGGGTCAATCGCGTTAAAATAAACCAACTTCCCCCAGTCACAAAATCGGAAACAATTGAAACAACCAACCAAAATGATACAGACGAAGGCCTAGACAGTAATGTTTATGGATGATACGTCCTTATCTGAGGTGATTGATGTATCAAATCATATATCTGGCACATCAGTTGGAAAAACCCAAGAAAACGTGAATGGTGTAGTTGACTTTGCAAAGACTGAAAAAATAGTAAAACTAAATGGCAACAAACGTATAAAGAGATGATTCTCGACTTCAGAAAGAAAAAAACAACTATTCCACCAATAAATATTGGCGACCAACCAATTGCTCGGGTATAATCATATAAGTCGCTTGGAATCTGGCTAGATGATGATATATATGAAATGGGAGACAAATACTGAATTTATGATAAAAAAAAAGTCTCCAAGCGGCTTCACTTCTTAAAGATCCTTAAGAATTATGGGCGTGCAAAGAAGATCTAAAATCTTTCTATTGTGCCATCATAAGGTCCACTCTTGAGTATGGAGCGCAGGTGTGGCGTGGAAACCTGACTCAAGAACAAGAAAGTAGCAATATCGAAAGAATTCAAAAAAGAGCGCTTAGGATCATCTACCCTGGAAAAGAATATAACGAAGCTCTAATAGAAAGTAGATTAAAGTTGCCAAAAGAACCAAACACTTATGCATTGATCTCATAAAGGATAAGATCCAGCCCAGCCATAAATTACACAAACTGCTTCCTGATAAACACTCCAGCATAAAAAACAGGCAAACAAGAGTAAATATATAGTGACATGTATTATAATTTTACTTATGGGACAGATCGTTTTAAACATAGTCCTTTGGTCTATGCGATTGATAAATATAACGAAAGTATAGCTTGAAGAACTCGACCTATATAGGCTACAAAATGTATCCAATTTTAATGGTAAATGCAATCATATTGATGTACTTATGATCCGAGTTACGTCCGGTTTTGTTCCTCGTAATCAACACTGTGTTGCTGGAGGTTTGCTGAGCTCAATTTTCTCCCGCCTTCTAGAATATGGTAATTTTAATAATCATAGTGTATTATAACTATTGATAAGTCTAACGAAAGTATTGCAACAACTGTATATAGCTCGTTTTTGATTGACCCTATCATATACTGATAACTCAAATCTTACTCTCAGATAGTCATTACTATAAATGTATATAAAATTTTACAACGATGTAAACACATAATAATTTAGCTGTATGAAGCTATTGAAATGTGTTCAATAAACCATCAATAATAATAATAATAATAACATTGTTACTAATAACTCAGGACAGTCACAGGACAAATATTAATCCCCATCGATCGGAATTTTAAAATTTTAATATCCGTTGTCAAGTTACTCAAGTACGTTATCTCCCAAATACCACTCAACATACGTGAAGGATAGGAAAATTAAATATCCAAAATAAACGCTTTAGCTTCTAAGCAGTCGATCAGTCATTTTTTGGGAATTCACGAGAAATCTATGCTGTTGTCACCCGGCTGTTTGAATATATTAAACTGATTGACTGTGATGAATCCTTTTTGCCATGCATTGCCATGTGACTCGGTCAAAAAACAATTGACCAATTTCAAGATGTTCAAGCATCTATATGCATTTTGTGAGTTTCAATACCTAAATTACAACATAATGAAACTATTGAAATCATGAGCGAAGAAAGGAAGACAATTAAAGGTTACGCCCACTAAGGTGAAACTTTGAATACAAAATGCAATCACATTGATGTACTTATGATCTGAGTTACGTCCGGTTTTGCATGTTCCTTGTAACCAAGTAAACCAACACTGCACTGCCAGAGGTTTGCTGAGCTCAATTTTCTCCCGCCTTCTAGAATATGGTATCAGGTATCTTGCTAAAGAGTTTTGCCTAATGTTGCATTAATTGCCATTTTTTCATCCTTGCTGCCTCGTGACACACTGCTGAACTTGGGTGCATCCGTGCATGGCAGACACAAGTATGTATGCCAGAAATCAGTGAGAGTTAAAAACCGATCACACTCCGCCCCGTCTTGACACACTACGATTTAAGGAGATCTGTCAAGACCTGCCTCTCTGCATTTCATACTCTATGCAAGTTCGCACGGATAAATTCAAAGATAAGTAAGTGAAATTTCGTTAGTGAGTTTTAAAGTTATAACAACATAACTTCGAAATTATGATAATCATACAGCTATATATAGGGTTTTAACTAGACTGATTAATTGTTAAGGTGCATATTCAAATCTATATTCAGGTTCAGTACATAGCGTTGGAACAACAGCTTTTAAAGTCGGACATGAGACGAATCAGTATGAATATGCACCACGCTCATCAATTGCCCCAATTCAGGTTCTAGCTACGGCATGCGACGGATGTCAATAAGCAAGACTATCTTTCGTACGATCAACTAATCGCTAATTCGCTAGGGATACTCATTGAAGGAAGTCCATGCACTTGTTAATTCACGGCGATAATATTTACTAAACGGAACTTAATTCACTTTCACAAGATCTCAGTTAGTTTCGGATCAACATGATACAGTACAACATCCGGCCATTCTAGCGCTTGCGGATTAGCAAAGCATTAGCGCGTGCTTGCTTCTGACGTCATTCCAGCAATAGAAAGTGCTAGAATGTTTCTCGTTTGATGTCACACATCTGATTTGATGCCATGTGACTTGTAATGTATTCACCACACGACACACGTGTTCACACCCAAGCATTTTTTTAACCGTAAGTTTAGCTATCTATATATCACATTATCACTGATTATTTGAACGAAATCTTTGACCTATATTATCTTAAGGAATGCACGAGATTTGTATATATCTATTTGAAAGTTTCTTTGATTTGATTGGTTTAAAATTAATTTGTATAACTTTAGTCAGTTCTGGTTTGTTGAATCTTTAATGCGTCTGTTGTAAATACAAGGAAAATTTAAACCTGATCATGTTAATCATGACCAGCCGACAATTTAAAAAAGTAAAGTAAAAAACAAATTCCGAATGAACAATATATCTTGAGAATTAATTTCAAGGTGTATCTGAAATAGAGTGTATTCAGGGTGTATAAAAAAACTGCAACACTTAATAGTCATATATATGTGCGTCCGCTTCTATTCAATAACAAAATATCGTGACCCCTGCCCATCGGGATTACCAAGGTTGCGTTTACACCCTGTAGAGTGGAGCTGTGTGAACGTATTTGGCTCTTTCAGACGTGCAGATAGGCATCTTTGTGTCATGCTAATATATATATATATATATACGTTAAAACAAATATAAATGTTGGTTAAACAATACAGAATTCAACCAAAGCTAACAACTACAACATTCTCGCCAGTAAAGATCTTAAACTGTTCACATACAGATTAGATTGCTCTATTCCTGTACTCCGCACTGTAAACTTGTCGGATCTTTTCTCTTAAGCTATTTATCATATACTAGCATTGTTGTAATTATATATATATCTCATACAAATTTACTTTTACTCGCTACGTTATCAAGTTTCGCTTCACTTAGATTAGTCGGCCTTCCGCCCACATGATAGATTATAAGATTAATGCTCTCTCTCTGTGTTGTACGCATACATTTGTGTTGCAAAGTATTGTATTTCATTCTGTCTGAAGATGGCTTTGAGATAAAGTCGAAATTTACAGTTTCAACCTGTGTTCGTCTTGTTTGATCGGAATCTTGATTTTTTTACCTAACGTGTTAATATATATACTATTAAATGAAGTCAAATACAGTGCCAAAAATCATAATTCATTTACCCTGACCTATTCCCGGCATTACCATCCTATACACACTAACCACGCTTGCTCTTCTTAGCTACATCTGTAGCTCAGTCGCAAGAGCATTGCACTGGCATCGCAAAAGCGTAGGCTCGATTCCATCAGCTGTTCCTGGCTTGAATTCGAAGTGTGTATAATTTCACTCGAAAAATCTAATAAACGTCTTCCTTATGCGTGGTGTCTTGGAAATTGATAAAAGAAATATTTCAATTCGTGCATGCATGCATGTGATAAACAGCCTACACTCCACAGGGGATGTCGACCCAACGTGCAACTATAATGACGCCGCCACAAGTGTTTTTCGCAGAAAATGGACGCGAATGCATGGCTCTTCCTCGCAAAAAATTCCAGTGAAAAATTATATTTTCTAGTAAATCAGACAATTCCTATAGAGATCATCATGATTGTGAATAAATGTAATAGAATACGTTCCAATCCAATATAACCAGGGAGCAGCGTCTTCAAATATAACTTAGTATCAAATGTGGTATAACAACTGCCTAAAATAGACAAAACACTTCTCGACGTTTCGACCTGAGGGCCTTCGTCAGGAGAGTTAGTATGATAATAACTCTCCTGACGAAAGCCCTTAGGTCGAAAGTCGAAACTGTGCCTAGTATATGCAGTAAAATTCAAAGTCAAGCCTATTCTAGACTATATTTAAAGGCTATACTGCATGCCTATACAAAGAACAATCCCTACTCTAGCTAAAAGTCCGCGTGTTTATAGCCATCGCCCTTCATGGCTATGGTGGAAATGGATGTATTTATATCATATAATACCAACGTATATCGTAAATAATGTACATCACTACGCTTTATATTTTTACGCCTCCACGTTTGTTGTTCATCCGTTGGCATTTGGCGTTGCCCTGATCCGGATATACCTGATAATGACGTCTTATAACCTAATGCATGCCTTTAGCTTTGATTTCAAATACACTTCCGTTCGAAAAGGGAAGTTCCCGTCGCATTTATATAACTAGAATTAGAACCATGCAGCCAACCATTCTAGTTTGACGCGCAAGAGAGAAGGTTGAGGAAAAAGAGCAAGGGGATTTTTGGGGACTTTAGGAATGGCTTCCTTTTTCGGAATTTTTAGAGTAAGTACAATATGTCTTTGAGTATATTCTCCTGGTACAACAGAAGTATTTTGTGCTACGATATGAAACGTTTTGCATGAGTAACATGAGTGGCTGTCATTTGTTTGTAATTAAATATGTTTGTTTGCTTGCTAGCGTGGCAAAATACTCGTTTATTGGTTCATCAAATTGTATTAAAACGCTATTATAAATGTTATGTAATAAACTGTACCTTTCTCAATAATCGTATTACTATTAATCATGAAAATGAGAGAGTTTTGACTATTTTGTTGCAACTGAATCATAGCCATTTAAATTCATGTTGATTGAGGTCAGGTCGTCACGAAAACATTTTTGGCGTTTTCAAAATAAAGAAAAGTCAACCATGCAAGTTTAAAATATTGTTTAATTAATAAAATAGTTTCTTCAATTGAAAGTGTAAAACACAAACCTGTATTGGCATGATTTTCACATTGAGTAGACGTTTTTATTTATAAGATTAAGAGCCATATATTCATTTCCGTCCGTAATATTGTTGTAATATTGTACTGGTATAGCAGACAACGTCAATGAAACTTATAGCGAGGTGAAATTGCTTTGCATGTTGACAATCAATCTTTATCGTATTCTGCCGAATATATTGTAAAAACACGAGAAGGTCCGCTATAGCATATAATAGCAATTGCATTTGATATTAGAATTACAATATGCATGACTGTAAATTCGGTGATTAAGAGGAAGAATGCCAATGGCGATGGCAATAAGAGGCCATGCAGTGCCCTAGCGGAACTTCATGGGATACGTAGCCATGGCCATGTGTAAGCAGGTTTATAGAAAAGATGTATATACAATAAGAGTTGAAACAGTCGGCGATAAAGACTAAGAAAGACATTCTCTGGTAGTATTTCTACAGGCAAATTATTGTTTATACGCGCCATGCAGGGAAAACCCAATTGACTGTTTTGGGGGAATTCCGATGTGCATGCATGCAGTGATAACGTAAAAGAGGGATTTAAAACACAGATTTAAAACACAGACAAACTTGGGCATTCAATATGTATGACGTGAATGACCCTATATATATACACAGGATTTACAAAAAGTGTATTTTGGTAAGCCAGGGAAATTCCCTCACGAAATTCGACTTGCAATTTTTATTTGAAGCCAAAGCCAAAGAAAAAAATAATTTAAAGTGCTATAAATTTTAGCGCGTTACGTTCGAACAATAGATATAGGGCCTATTATATATATAGCTATATATAAAAGTCTTCTGTGAGTGTGACAAGAATCATGAAATTAACCAAGTCAGTTTAATAATATATCCCAATAACTTGATTGTTCTTGCTAAATTATAAATGTTATTTAACCGGCATATATTTTAACCGCGTGCATTTGTCACTGCATGATCGTCATCTTATAAATACTTGATCTTTAAAATGGATGATAATTATATATTAGCTATTGCACGGCCGAGTGTAACAGTGATCATCCTGTTTTATATAGCTCTCATAAAAAATGTTTTCTTTCGATATGAAAACTAACTATATATACCTAAGACTATATATAAGTATTTGTCGGAAATATCAATTTTTACTTTACCTTTCAGTTATACTTCGTAAGGCTAAGAACGAAAAAGACCTTTCTTTATCTAAATTTTGATGTCAGTATTGGTATAATTAATTCTGCAAAACGAAAATGATATGAAACGTATATCAACAATAGATATTATGTTGTTGCATTTCATGGAACTGCTGAGAAATTCCGTTTAGTTCCATCCACCGAAGTTTCGTAAAACAGTTGACGCTGCAAATTGAGCCCAGATGTACCGCATCGTTTTAGTGGGTAAACAAGAATATTTCCCCTGCATGCATGTGCATCCGGCAATTTACCTTGTTTGTTTATTTATATATTCCGACTAATAAATTATTTTTGTTTACAACAGACTGACTCTCCGACTCCTTTTGGAATACAAACAGGAATTGGATGCTTTATTGATTCTAAAGCTGGCACAATCGTATCCACGATTGGCATGAAACTGGAAAATGAAATGGTGAAAGTCAGAGTGAATGAAAAAGCAATAACTGATTGCGAGTCACTAAAACAGACTTTAGACAGCAGCAATAGCAGCAGTAGCATTGGTAGCAATAACAGTAGCAATAACGGTGATTCAGATGGAAAGGAATCAGGTAACTCGAGCGATTCAGGAACGATCCAGGACTCTGCTGATGGCGATGAATGCCAAGATGGGGTGAAAATTAGAGATGGAGTTTTGGTTAAAGACATTCAACGTGGAACATATTCCCATGGCCTTGGTTTGAGGTACATATGCTATATTTATATTGATTTTTAGCGAAATAATAATCCATATGGCATTCGAAGAAATATTTGATCTGTTATTTAATTATTTTGATTTGAAATTTATTTAATATCCAATTATCGATTGTGCATGGCTACGCCACATGCCTGTGTATAATAAGATTTGACTAATGCATGAATTTTGGACGTTTTCGAATCGAAATTCACAAGGGAAACATGGAAAAGATAGGATTTCCACTGAAAAGCGCAACTATTTGTGCGACGTACAATTTATGACGCACAATATGACGTATACTATTAATTGTACGACTGAGCACTATACGTCGGCTTCTTTAGTCTTCACATGCATGCGACTGTCTCTGTGCGACAGTCAAATATATTAAACTGACAGGTTAGTATATCAGGGAACAAATATCTTTATATTAATTATAGTGTTGTTTATACTTTCAGCAAGCATCATGTCTTCGTTTAGTCATAAATAAATGAGAACGTTACATCGATCGTCAGATAATGTGAATTGATTATTTTAAAGAAATACATGCACAGATATCATCGGTCATCAGAACTATAGACCATCAGCTGTTTCGAAACTCGACGAAGTACCAAAACGTAGTCTACAAAAACACTATAAAACTTACTCATTCAGTCCTCAGACCTCGCAACTTATTTGTTGTAGCCGATTGTAGGGTGTGTTATTAATAAAACTTCAATACTATAGATCACAAATAAAATTAATTATATTAACGTTGATAAATACGTACCATGCATATATAGTATGAATATTAAGTTAGTACATGTTGTATAACACCATTAGGGATGATGACATCATCTTATCACTCAATGATCAACCTGTAAAATCTGCAGCTTTTGTTGTCGTCTTCGTACAACGCGTAATAGACAGCAGTAAAACGGGCAAATTAAGAATGGTAAGTGAATGGTCGCCGCAAACTTTCCTCAATATCCCAGGTCAAAATTAGAATTTAAAAGAAACCTATCCATCAAGGCGCCGTTACTTAAAATTAGATTAATTAGTCAACCTCATGCATGCATGCATAATATCAACATTTGGGGACTAAAACTTTGGTTGCTTTGTATGCATGAATATGTATGTATTTTTCATATCTATAGCTATATATTGTACATATATATTTTAGGAAATTTACAGAAAAGAGAAAGGATTGATTGTGTTGGATAATGGCGGTAATTATTTTTTAGTTATGATTTTGTAACATGCATAATTTTATTAACTGGAAAGAATACTTTTTAAATGGGAAACGTTCAAAGCATAGAGTATTTGTTGTGGAAAACATAAACGACAATTTAAACTATTGCATTATAAAAACTATTTTCGTTTTTGTACTGTTGCATGCATGGTAATATAACTCCATGAGGCTTTGAACACATTAGCAGTGCAAGACATAGAAAAATATCTTCTCTTAAGCCCCATTTGCACTACGCGCAATTTTAGGTTTGGTATACCGATGAAATTTGGACCATCTATTTAGATAGTTCAATTTTCATATTTTATAATTGTAGATGTGTAAATTCTTAATTAGGGAACGATCTATGCAGCTTGGATGATCATGAACTCACGCGGATCCATTGTACTACAAACAGAATGAAAAGCGTCAGATTCCGAGGAAAATATCTCATAGTAAAGTCCGGAGATACGATCACTTTAAGCAAATTTAGAACGCCTCAAGAGGATAGTAAGTTGACCTTATTTTATTATATATATTGCACTGTTTATATATTATACTGTATGCACATGCATGGTCTCATCCATGATTCATGCAATCTCTATACGAAGAAAGTACCAATTCTTTGAGCTTGTCATTTACAGCCTCGATTTTATATATACACACAAAAAACAGGTGTGTAGAATTACACACCAAGGTGTGTTTGACAACACACTAAGGTGTGCTCAATTGCACGCCATGGTGTGTAATTTCTGCACACCTTTCTACGCGCTTTTAGAAAGCACACCTTGGTGTGTAAGGAAACACACCTTTGTGTGAACGCAAACACACATTCGTGTGTTCGAAAACACACCTTTGTGTGTTAGCGAAAACACCTCCTTTTGCACACCTTTTCTTTTACTCATTAAGGTGTGTAAAGTAACACACCTTTTCACTGAAAACACACCTTTGTGTGTTTGACAGCACACCTTGACCCATCCAAGAAACACATCTTTTGATGTGTTATAAAACACACCTTTAAATTATTAACAATATGCTTGATTGGCCTTATTTATTACCTATAGTATTTTAGTGCGTCGATAAAAGCGTCAGCCTTACGAGGAATTACACAAGTCACAGGAAATTTCACGCTGTTCCATTGCATTTAAATTTAACTTTTTGCTTTAAATTCCTGTTATCTTTGGCCTGCGTTTCAGCTTTGATCAGTATTAAAAACTCTAAACATTATATAAGACATAGATTTAAGGGAATTTACAGATCGTTGTGGTTTACTTTTGTAATAAAACGTGGGTTGTTTTTGAATATCTGCCATACAGACTTGTATATACAGGTCAGTGATCTGATACGTCATACGTTTTTAACCAATAAGAATGTCGCGAGGTGTGAAATCCACGCGCACGAAATACAAACCACTGTTTAGTGTTTACATTTCCTTCTCTACTGTGACAACTGTGCTTCGAGTCTGTTACAAGTTTAAATTATGTTTATTGTGAAGGCGATTTTAAGATTTTTTTGGAGATGAACACACGAGAGCTTATGATGTTGTATAAAGAAGAAATTATAAGAGGGTAAGTTGTATTGCAGTGCTTTTCGAATCGTTTGTGTCAAACATTTGTATCAATTTCAATATGGCCAACGAGTGTAATCAATATGGTTGTCTCTATCTATTTGTAGCGAATAAACTGATGGTTCCGTTACAAACGATGCAAAGAAATTCAAGACTTCGAAGGTCCCGAATAGCTTGAAAGTGAAAAGTCTGCTTCATTCTAATAATTCAGAGACCACCGAAGCGCATGGCGACGCGAACAGATTCGACATCACAAGAGAGACTTGGTGAGTGTTACGTTTTATCTTTCAAAATTTAATTGTTCTAGGTGCTTTTAGAAGGAGATATACGCGTATATCGGTGTATACATAAGGCTGTTTATGCCATAGTTTATGCTTGGTATAAAGAAAGCATATAATTCGCTAGGTGTAATCTTGATGAATTGTTTTGTGTCTTAATTTATGTTTAATATTTTGTATTCCTTTTGGGGGTTAGTAACATTCCAAAGGACCAATTTTTGTCCTCACTATACTGCATTTGCTTTCTAAATGTTGTAAATATTAGATAGTTGATTTGACTTGAGTGTTCCAGAATGGTTTATGATTTTTAATACTATAGACTTGACTACTTATCCTGAAAGATAGGTATATATACATATTTAAATAAAACTTTCCCATTTTAAAGAAACTATAGGAAATGTGCCCAGACCCCAATTTTTCAAATTTCAACAGAAGGTTATAATTCATGTAATTATACCTGCCTATACCTGACAATACATCCTAAATTCTTTTACCAAAAATAAATCTTAACTCATAAATTGGGTATCATTTAGCATGTTCTATTAATTAACAGATGCTTGTGCACATCTTAAATTGGAAAATTCTAAATACCAGATCCTCTTATGCATTTATTTTATATTTTCAGGTGACCTTTGTTGATTATGAAGATCATGAATTAAGGCGATGATGTTATTGCAACAGTTGAGCAGGCACCATACACTCCAACAAACAAGAACAAGGGTGACCAACAAGACAAGAAAACACCACCAAGTGTCAAGTCGAGACGACATCAAGTCAATAAACTGTTTATAGAGTAAGACATTATTTTAAACTAAACTGCATGCTTCAAGATATTTATATAATTCATTACTGTGACTTCATGTTAATCCTTAATAGTATTGGAACTTAAAATATATTTATAAATTAATATTGTGTTTGTGTGTTTTCTAGCCCTGTTTATATGCTACTTTTAGGAAAGGTGTGCAACTTTTTACTTAAACAATTTGTGTGTTCTCCAGCACAGCTTTAGCTGTGTAATGAAACACACCATGGTGTGTATGAAAACACACCTTCTTTGAAAACACACCTTAGAACGTGTTAAAATTTGGACAAGCCAAAAACACATCTTTTGGTGTGTTTTTTGACACACCTTTTAGTGTGTTCTACACACCTTTTGGTGTGCACAAAAACACACCTTGCTATGTGTTAACACACCTTTGAAGATGCTTTTTGCACACCTTATGGTGTGTTAAACACACCTTTAGGTGTGTTTCAAAACCCACCTTTAGGTGTGTTAAAATTTGGACAAAAAAGGTGTGTGAATTTAACACACCTTTTTTTAGTGTGTATATATAAATATATATATATATATATATATATATATATATATATATATATAAATATATATATATATATATATATATATATATATATAATATATATATATATTATATATATATATATTATTTAATATATATATATATAATCTGTTTAAAAACTGCACGAAAAACTGGTTAAACGCTGCATGATATCATTCTTTAGACTTCACTTCTATCAAGGTGACCTAATCATATATATAAATGTATTTATCATTTATTCATTCATTCTCTTGTAGAATTGTTTATACTACGACATTATGTGCCAAGCATTTTATCTGGGGAACCAGAGAAATTAATCGTAACAATGCAGCACAAAACCAGTGGAAAATATTTATGGGTCGAAAACGAAAAAATTTCTTTGAAGGTTTGTATATAGGCTTACAGTACAAAAACTAAGAAACACTGAAAACTTTTGCCAAATTGCAAAGAATGCCTGGATTAACTGAGTAAAAATTAAACGAAAATTTGGCAGCTTTGATTAACTTCATCTGATGAGGTCTGTTTCAAACGTCGTGGTCTCGTGTCCCGAACGCATTTAAAACAATATTCAGTAATCGCTAATTTGAACTGGACCTGATTTTATGCCGATGCATGTGTAACATAAAACCGCTTGATTTTTTAATGCTAAATGATATGCTAAATCAGAGTTGATGTTATGACACGCCCTAGCTATGACGTAAAAAAGACAGAGTTTAGTGTAAAATTTTGTAAATTTGCTGAGCCGGTTTGTCGTCAACAAATCTTTGAACGTTGGTCTCAGAGCCTTACTGGCAATTATTATCATTTTGTTGGAAGATAAAAACACTTAAAAACACTGATACGTACGTATCACCATAACCATCGTGCAAAGCGCCGCGACTACTTAATGATGAATAGGGCACCAAGTAATTTATTCTGTGCAATTAATTTAGTCAACAAAAATATAATTATATATAGTAATTATATATAATAGTATAAAGCATTCACTTTAGAATTAGTCTAATGACGAAAGCTTGTTTTCCTCAAGATTCAATAAGGACTACCGTTGATTGCCAAATATTTTTATTTAGGATCCACCGCCTGCAGATGGACCAACTTTGCCCGGAAACAGCAATTACCTTTTTGATGTTATCAATGCGGAACTTTCCGACAACAACACTAAAACCTTCCAACCAGTTAACTGCAGTGAACAAGCATTGGGTTTTAAAAGGCCGACATCATCTGCTAAATTGATGGATGCAACGAAAAAAAAAACTTTTTTCGAGATATTTACTGTCAAAGACCACTGTTGATAGTTCAGTTTTTTCTGATAAGTCGATAAATGACTTTATGAAAATAGATTGTAGAACTGAATGACGTGTCCTCCAACGTACAAAGAGAACAACCCGGAGAGCAAAAGCCTTCTTCGTCATATATAATAGGCAAAAATAGAAAAGTTAAGAAATGCGATTATACATGAACTTGCCGCGTAAGCACTAGCCGGCTCGTAGAAAATAAAGTACGTTAAGTTCTCTTGCTACAACATAGACCAGTGAGCCTGGGGCCGTTTGTGTACAAGGGTGCACATCAAGCAAATATCTGCGGGGGTTTCTAAACTCTGCATGGGACCGACTTTTGTTGTGTTGTAATAATTTTGATAGAAAGAGCCTCCATTAAGGCATATATTTTACAAGTATATGCTGAGACGTACAACGTCAAAGCTGCAATAATTTTTGAAATATATTTTGAAATGTATATAATAATATCGGCCATCTCTCGCAGACTTTGAACACCATCTCTCGCAGTCTGTAACAACCATCTCTCGCAGTTTGTAACGACCATCACTCGTAGTCTGTAACAACCATCTCTCGTAGTCTGTAACGACCATCTCTCGCAGTCTGTAACGACCATCTCTCGTAGTCTGTAACGACCATCTCTCGTAGTCTGTAACGACCATCTCTCGCAGTCTGTAACAACCATCTCTTGTAGTCTGTAACGACCATCTCTCGTAGTCTGTAACAACCATCTCTCGTAGTCTGTAACGACCATCTCTCGTAGTCTGTAACGACCATCTCTCGCAGTCTGTAACGACCATCTCTCGTAGTCTGTAACGACCATCTCTCGCAGTCTGTAACGACCATCTCTCGTAGTCTGTAACGACCATCTCTCGTAGTCTGTAACGACCATCTCTCGCAGTCTGTAATGACCATTTCTCGCAATCTGTAACGACCATCTCTTGCAGTCTGTAACGACCATCACTCGCAGTCTGTAACGACCATCACTCGCAGTCTGTAACGACCATTTCTTGCAATCTGTAACGACCATCTCTCGCAGTCTGTAACGACCATCACTCGCAGTCTGTAACGACCATCACTCGCAGTCTGTAACGACCATCTTTCGCAGTCTGTAACGACCATCTCTTGCAGTCTGTAACGACCATCACTCGCAGTCTGTAACGACCATCTCTTGCAGTCTGTAACGACCATCACTCGCAGTCTGTAACGACCATCTCTCGCAGTCTGTAACGACCATCTCTTGCAGTCTGTAACGACCATCTCTCGCAGTCTGTAACGACCATCTCTCGCAGTCTGTAACGACCATCTCTCGCAGTCTGTAATGACCATCACTTGCAGTCTGTAACGACCATCTCTCGCAGTCTGTAACGACCATCTCTCGCAGTCTGTAACGACCATCTCTTGCAGTCTGTAACAACCATCACTCGCAGTCTGTAACGACCATCTCTTGCAGTCTGTAACGACCATCTCTCGCAGTCTGTAACGACCATCTATCGCAGTCTGTAACGACCACCTCTCGCAGTCTGTAACGACCATCTATCGCAGTCTGTAACGACCATCTATCGCAGTCTGTAACGACCATCTCTCGCAGTCTGTAACGACCATCTATCGCAGTCTGTAACGACCATCTCTCGCAGTCTGTAACGACCATCTATCGCAGTCTGTAACGACCATCTATCGCAGTCTGTAACGACCATCTCTTGCAGTCTGTAACGACCATCACTCGCAGTCTGTAACGACCATCTCTCGCAGTCTGTAACGACCATCTCTTGCAGTCTGTAACGACCATTTCTCGCAGTCTGTAACGACCATCACTCGCAGTCTGTAACGACCATCACTCGCAGTCTGTAACGACCATCACTCGCAGTCTGTAACGACCATCTCTTCAGTCTGTAACGGCCATCACTCGCAGTCTGTAACGACCATCTCTTGCAGTCTGTAACGACCATCACTCGCAGTCTGTAACGACCATCACTCGCAGTCTGTAACGACCATCTCTTGCAGTCTGTAACGACCATCACTCGCAGTCTGTAACGACTATCACTCGCAGTCTGTAACGACCATCTCTTCAGTCTGTAACGGCCATCACTCGCAGTCTGTAACGACCATCTCTTGCAGTCTGTAATGACCATCACTCGCAGTCTGTAACGACCATCACTCGCAGTCTGTAACGACCATCTCTTGCAGTCTGTAACGACCATCACTCGCATATAAAATCCAACTTTGATTTAAATTCAAATACATTACTTCGAAGTTTGGGACGGCACTTGTAGAGAAAGTGGACAAACCTAATGCGACCATTCGACTCCTCGCCACAGTGAATCAAACCACGCAGGTAATATACGCTGAACCCAGAGTTTTTGCCAAACTAAACAACATCAGCACAGGGGGGTGCTTTTCAACATCTCTCCGCTTAATGAAGGCTCGTCAAGACATGTAACCAAGACCAGTACACACTTGAACAAACATTTTGCATACTTGATCTCTTGCACAGCACACAAAGCATCACCAAAACCAGTTCTTTGCTTAAAGGCTGCACCAAAAAGGTTGGGAGAAATTAAATACACAAGGCTACAATAAATTGAATAACAGTCCTGAGGATTTGTTGATCTTTCACGCTCAGATCCATTACGGGAACTCGTGTTAAGTTTTTCAGACCTTCATTTTTGTAAACTAAGCCGTTCAGTCATTTATATTGAGTTTGCGTTCGAGAATGATGACTATTTTGACGTTAAAAACCAACAAGGATTGTTTCAAAACACTAAAATTTCTAAAAGAATATAAAAACACTAAAATTTCTCGCTAAAAACACTTAAAAAATGTTTAGGCGTTTAAATCCTGACATTTCCAATCGTGTGCCTTATTAATCATTTTCTGTGCATATACTTGTTAGGGACCGCCCCGCGAGGCCAGGAAAAGCTTAAATACGTTAAATTTATCTTCGCTCTCAAGGCTAGCCACTGTAGCTGATTCGTCTATGACGCGCTAGGCGTGTGGCAATGCATACTCTGTTTCTCACTGAGACGTAACGGTTAGGTGCACATACATCATGGTCTGGGGGCCGTAGTGCATCTCCCCCTTAGACGGCCGTTAAGATGTGAGCTATGGGGGGGAGTTCTTCCTATAGCAACTGTCCTTGCACCTTTCGTAGTTGTAACTATGTTGGTATATTGCAGCCGGTTGTATAACCAGGTTAGATTGTGGCATAGGCTGGATGATCTCTTTTGGGTGTTTTTACGTTCTTTCCCAATTTTTTTTTTGCATGCTTTCCAAATTTTTCTTTTACATACAAAAAACATTGTTATATGGAACGGATATAAAAATTTATATCGACTGAAAACCACCTTAATTTACCCCTGAATACTCTCCCCAGTCTCTGCATGGCTGAGTCTCTGAATTAAACAATACCAGAGATCATTCATAAACATCAAACATTTCTTTTATTAGATCAGCATCCTCATCAACCTTACGGCTGTAAAACAGCGACAAAGACATTCAGACAGTCAACTCTGCATTCTCGTTAGTGCCTTCAGCCCCAAGAACTGTCAATCAAAAGTCTGGATAAATCCCCTGGCTTTCCCTGCGAGTTTTCAAATTCATATTTCAAAATATCTGACATTGAAAACAACTCAAGATTTTCTACTAATTGTGGACTTGGTTTATTCATTAATACTGATCCATGAGATAGTTTGAACGAAGACTTTACCATTGTTGGGTATACCAGTGCAGTATGGTAATCCAGGTTAGATCCCAATAGTAGACTATATTCTCGATGAATCACCCTGAATACTTCTGTAACTAAATTTTCGTTCCACAACAAAAAAAAGGCATGTTTATGGCCATTTTAAACGTAGGATTATTTTATACTTGTCTTTATTAACAAACATGCGATATTTAATTGATTTAAACTTACCCATTTTTTGGTACATTACGGATAAAAGACACACTGAAGTTTAAAAAGAAATCTTCATAGGATCTATAATAATGATAGGATCTAGCCCTCCCGATGGCCGTATTTATCTTGTTATAGTATCAAATTCACTCGAAAGCATACGTGCATGAAGAAAAAATACTTGAAATTTGGTGAAGATAATATATGCATGCGCTTATTTCATGCGCGCCTAGGTGTGGCTTAAGAGTTAAGTAGCTCTATTAAAAAAACATTCAGACGACCCCGCGCTTAATATTAAAGGCATACATTTTTAATAGGCCAAATAATAACGTACGGTAAATCTGTCATAAGGTCCAGTCAACGGTTTCTCTGAATGTTGTATGTGGCTATATTTAAGTTATGTTTTAAAATAAAGTATAAATATATATTATAGAAATCCAACAAATAGGTAAGCTTCCTGACAGACGTGATCTGTTGCTTTCGTGGGCGGCCACTAGAAGTCTAGAATAACGTATTCCACTCTTTGTACTCGCCCACTATGATACAGGAACTAACGGACAACCATACTTATCCTATATAACCAGTTTCCAGTAATGTGTTGAGCATATAAGCTAGTGAACAGATTTTACACCTTGTACGTTGCAGTTGATGACATATTTGCGTCCCTTGGATCAAGATCATCCCTGAAGATATCTTTGATCAAAAGCGAAATAATATCGCGAAAAGTTCCATCCTGTAATTTTAAAGCAACGTCGTATTTCAGGATCTGAACTTCGCCTGATATGGAGCAACGAGGTTACCTGGTCGTATTTGGTTTCATAAAGCTATCACAGAAATACGAGGTTGAGAGGGATGTCGTCGTGAATTTCATGGCTTTAATGTCACTGATTAGTATTATAGCTAACTTTGTTTTATTACTAGTTATCATTAAAGACCCTTTTAAACAATTACGGAATATTACAGCGATTATACTGGCTTTCACCTCAGCATCAAATTTGATCATTTCGCTGATTTTGTTTCTTGATGACGTTTTTTATTGGTCTCATGAACAACTGTCTCCAGAATTGATTCTATATTCTGGTCTATTTACAACATGTCTGTACATCATTGGTAACGCGTTACACACAGTTAACATTTATGGCGCTGTTGTCGTTCCTGTTCGATACGCTGTATTGTCACCCAAAGTGCGAAAGTTCTTGGTAAAATCCCTTGTCTCAACGTGGGTGATAACTTTTTTGATAGTTATAATTCCTCCTTACACTCTACCAAAAGACGAAGTGCCCTCTTATGCTAATGTTATGACAAAAGTGGTGTGTATTTTACTGGCTTCCTTCGTGATAATGTTTGGTTGCCTGTATACTAAAATATTACAAGCTTTATACTCACGAAAACGAAGACTCTCGCTGTCTTTTCATCTCAAGCGTTCAACCGTACAAGGACAAACAATGGACAAAAAAGAACAAAATATTGTCCATACATTATTCATTCATGTTTTGTTCTTCATGATCACCACACTACCTGGCTCGATTGTCTTCCTGGTTTTAAATCATTGTACATCATGTGATC